AGGGTTCAGGGTTTAGGACTTAGGGCCTAAACCCTAAACCCCAAACCGTGCCGTGCAAAGATGAGAAATCATCCTTCAATCACTCAGAGAACACAAGCACTTCTGCATGGCTATAGATGTGACATCACGTCTTCGTTTGGCATTGATGTGGCGAAGTACAATCGAGTCTTCAGGGGATCAGATCAGGTCAAATCATCATGGGGACATTCAAGAGCAGTTCTCGATTTGCGAGCTCCTTGTTCATGCATTCTCATGAGCTTTCCCCCTTTCCCCAGCGTTCCTACCCCCTACTCGCTGGATTGAAGGGCACATCCTTGGGTGGTTTGCACCCGAGCACCCGGACGAGGTTGGTGACGGTCGCCGAAATCCAAACGAAAAAAAGGGGGAAGTCCACAACAGCCTTAATGATGGCAGCGATTGTATTCCTATGTCGAAGCGATCGACCAACCTGAACCCTAAACCTAAAGCCCGACTACGTAGCGTATGATTTACACTCCAATGTCAGAGCAACAAGTACAGATCGTTTGATACGCAAAACAGGAGCGAAGGGAATACCCTCAGAAACAAGCACGTCCCGCGTCGTGAGTCCAAACTGAGCTGCACATGTCAATGCATGTCAAGTCAGGTTTGCGGCCCACAGCTTCTGCATGGACGACGCTGGCATAGGCTACGCCCCAGAAGTCCCGGATGATACCGATGCCTTTTTTGCCTCCTCGGCCGCTTCTTTGGCCGTGCGCGCTTCCTTGCAGCGCAGACTTGACACGACAATTCCAGATTCCAGGGCTTGGTCAGGGCTTAACGGGGGTAAGAGCAAGGAGTCTGGGATGGTTTCGTTGAAGCATAGCTTGCAATGCGAGAGAGCGTTGAGAGTTTGGTTTCACGATGATGGCCTGAGGGTTTCCACATGCTACAGTATTCTTGCTACTACGACTCTCGTGCTAGTGCTACTAGGACGACGACGACGACGACTATGCCGCTTTCTTCTTCTTCGGCTTCTGCTTGTTCTTGCTTGCTGGTTCCTACACCTCAGAGACGCACACAACATCACCCTAAATCCTGAAGGCCCCGACCTACTACTACCGCTACTACTTCGACTACGGCGACGACGACGGCGACTACTACTACTACTACTACTACTACTACTACTACTGCTACTGCTACTGTTGGGTGTGGGGCATATAGGGTTTAGCATCCTCGAGCACGGGCCTTGAGCGCAGCCTCGGCTCGGGCTTGGCTGGCACGTGCCTCAGGCTTATGATTATGGTTTAGGGTTTAGGGGTTTAGGGGTTTAGGGTTTAGGGTTTAGGGTCTAGTGTTATTGCCACGATTATACCTATCTGCTGCTGTTGATGTTGTTGCTGTTGATGTTTTTGTTCTGCTATTATTACTGTTATTATTGATACTATGATTTTTACTGTTGATTTTATAAGGATTAATACTATTATGGTTGTAATTGTCATTAGTAGTAGTAGTAGTAGTTGTTGTTGTTGTTGTTGTGGTAGTAGTAGTAGTAGTAGTAGTAGTAGTAGTAGTAGTAGTAGTAGCAGTAGCAGCAGCAGTGCTGGGCGGGATGCAAACGGCCTTGTGAGGCCTTAAGGCAGCAAAAGCCACATGGCCGAATGCAGGAGCTTGCAGCAATGTGGAGTGTGTGTAGCGCAGCATCCCGAGCATACCTACAACGTAAGCACTCCTGAATGCTTCTCTGCGTATTGAAGCCCATCAGAAAGCCCTGTAGAACCTGAGAGGACCCTCTAGAACGCCACCTGAAACTCGCAAAAAAAAGCCAATCGACCCTACTGGCCAGTAAGCAAGGAAACTGCTTCGGATGGTTTAGGGTTCAGGGCGTAGGGTTTATAAAGGAAACTCCGAACCCTAAACCCTAACCCTAAACCCCAAACCCTAAACCCTAAACCCCAAACCCTAAACCCTAAACCCTAAACCCTAAACCCCAAACCCTCATCCCTAAACCCCAAACCCTAAACTCCAAACCCCAAACCCTAAACCAAAACCGAACCCTGAGCCCCAAAGCTCCGAAACCCCTTTACGCGACCCGAGTCAAGCCAAAAGCTCCGAGGCTATACCCTAATGTAGGGGCCTTAACGATTACCTATACTATTTATGTTGCGGGGTAGAGCTCCTTATTATCATTGTATCGTTATAGTTTTGTTTTGGGGGGATCATTATTATCATTACATCTACTATTTTAGGGTTCCCTACTGTAATTCTAGTATAAAGGGGCCAAAAACCCTAGTCCAATTATTAAGGCCGCTATATTAAGCCTGAGCTTGGTCCAGGGGTTAGGGTTTAGGGGCCTAGGGTTAAGGCTTTAAGGGTTAAGGGTTCAGGATTAAGGGTCTAAGGGTTTAGGGGTTTAGGGGTCAAGGGTTTCGGGGTCCAGGGTGTAGGCTTCCAGGGCTAAGGGTTGTTTGGGGTACTAGAGGGGCCTGAATAATTAGAATAGGGTTTTGGGGCCCATGATAACTATACTTGTAATAAGGAACCCCCGAAATAGTACTAGTATTGGTAATTATGTAGGCTTTATATTACCGGAACACCCTAAACCCTAAACCCTAAACCCTAAACCCTAAACCCTAAACCCTAAACCCTAAAGCCCCTTAAAACCCCTAGGAAGGCCTCTCGGAGTGCCTCCACAGCTGGGGAGGACATGAGCTCCTCGAGCTCCTGCGGTCAGGAGCCCCGTGGAATCCTAGCTCTCAGAAGCTTTGGGATTGGTTTAGGGTTTAGGGTTTAGGGTTTAGGGTTTAGGGTTTAGGGTTTAGGGTTTAGGGTTTAGGGTTTAGGGTTTAGGGTTTAGGGATTGGTTTGAGCAGGCTAGGTTCGAGTAGAGTTAAACATTTTGTAAGCCTTGTTGAAACCTACTTTTGTTGCTAAGTAAATTATTTACACAAGGGCATTCGAGTATAGTTAAAGTTATAGGAAGCCTTGTAGAAATCTATTTTGTTACTAAGTATATTTACAGAAGGGCAGGAAAGGAGACGCCAGGCCCACAAAAACCACCCAAGAGCCTCTTGCTCCTGGGGCTGGGCACACTCGGCCACATTCCTGGCAGCGATGCTCCCACCCTCACATGACAGTGCATGACGCTGCATTGCATAGCACGACCACGAGCACGAGCCTGTCCATGAGCACGGCGACATCTACACCCGTAAATGACAGGCTTTCGATAACCTGCACCATGTTTATCTACTCTGCATTTAGTTGCTGTACCGGACGTTGCATCGTATCGCATGACATCCTGTGCCCGTTGCATGGCAGACCAATTCTGTACTACAAGTGTCCTGGTGGCGTAACACGGCAATGCTTTGCTCCGGCATTACTATTGTTACTACGGTTCGCTTCGTTTCTTGTTATCTTCCTCGGTCAACCGTGAAGGCCGGGTTGAACACCAGGCCGTCCCATTGTATTTGTCTAACTGCTGTCAAAGCCTTGCATGTGCCGTACGGTTCCTCGACTCGGCCACCACACAAAGGGAGAGAACAGAAGGCGGGTCGAAATGGAAGAATCGACAACCATGCCCAACTCCTGAAGTTCTCAAACCCCAAAGCCTGCAACCCTCAACTCCCACAGACGCTCCAAAGCCCAACAGCCGTCAAGCCACTGAGTTAGAGCTCTTGGTCCTTGCGTCCCCATGTCCTCCCTGAGCTAACTTCGCCGGTGCCACACAGGGCGTAGGAACACAACGCCCTTGTGGTAGCGGGCCATACACTCCACCGGGCCTGCAGAAAGGCTGCTTCGATGCTATGCCGACAAGAAAAGACGGGCGTGAAGCACGCCCACATTCAGCCCTGTAGAGAGGCTATATGGGAGTTTCCGAAATTAAGGAATACATTATTTTGGGATCCTTATGATAAGGATCCTACTATTTGGGGTACTATATTAGGGTCCCCTATTTTCGGAGGAAACTCCCATATGTGGCACACTGTCCATATGGATAAGAATATAAGAATGGCACTGGCAATGATGACGCCTTGATGGTTGACATAATTTATTTGGCAAACTCTACTTGTAGCTATGGATAAGCAGCTCTTTTCTTCAAATTGCTT